TCTCTGTATTATCTGAGTTGGGTTTTTTTGAAAAAAATTCACTATAAAGACCTGATTATAGAGCCAGTTTGGTCCAGTGCAGTGGTTGAGGACTACCTATGTGTGAAATGCTTCTTGTTTTTAAAATGGCTTCTGTTATGTTTCTCTAGAGTGGACAACCTATCAAAGTTTGTGATAAGGTAAGCACTCTTTCACTGTCAACGTCATTGAATCAATGTAGTTTGATAAGGATCCCTCTAATTTTGAAGAATGAGTTGACAAATTAGAGAAGGATAAATCTGTCCGCTCTGCTAGGCTGGACAGCTAGGCCTAGAGTCAAAGGTCTAACTAGCTATTACTAGAGAACCAGTGCAATATAATAGTTAAAGTGTTGGTCTAAACCAGGTCAAAAGTCTACTCCCACCAAAACTTTGAGCCAGGCTTAATTTTCCAACCTTAGCTTAGCTAGATGGTTTATCTGGTTTTAGATGCGGCTAATGTGGCAACAAAACATGCAGCTAAGCTCAGCTTTGAAGAAGGAGAGAAGAATTCTTTCTTTAGAGACTGGGGTTAGATCNGTGGCATGGCTTGGTGGGCATGGCAGGGGAAGGATACTGCAAAATCTCCATTCCCTCCCCACTCCAGGGGAAGGTTATTGCAAAATTCCCATTTCCTCCGGATCAGCTAGGACTCTGGAGGCAGAGAATAGATGGGGGCGGGGCCAGTCAGAAGTGGTATTTACCAGTTCTTGAACCGGTACTGGTTCTCTAGAACTGGTCAGAACCTGCTGAATACCACCTCTGGTGTATGTGTAGCATATGGAGGGACACCAACAAACCTACGAAAAAAACCTACATAAAGGAATCCTACACACCCATCATTTTACATAGAATCCATATGTATTTTAGAGAATAGTTTCAAATATGCATACTTCAACAAAGAACAGAAAGATTACAGGAGGAAGGAGGAGAATTATAAAAAGACTGACTCTACAGTAGAAATGCTCAATAAAATATTCTTTCTCTTTCCTCTCTTTCCTCAACCCTTTATTAAATTACCACCAATGCTATCTCCAAAAGCATACTAAAAGATCCATGGGGAAAGGAGTCAAGGCAAAAGAGCGGGTTCTACTTTTCCCAGAGGAAAAACATGAGAAAAAAAATGCCATAGATTACTTCCTTCTCACTCTTTATCAAAGTGGCCTTTCTCAATCTGCTTTTGTTATACCAGAAAGACTGCTTCATGGACACCGTATCTTTTCTCCCATCTGCAGGGAAGCAATTTAGGGAGGATAGCTCTGAATTTCTAAGGTCCAGAAAGGGAGAGGTTGGTCCATACCACAGCACATACTATTTTCTAACTTTGCCATAAGGAAACTCTACTTTAAAGGTATGCAATATATTTTTTCATGTTTGCAGAGCAAACATCAAGCCCTAAAACCAGATCAGAGAAAATAGATAAAGTCACTTTGCTGAGCTAGAATACCCAATGACTTTCTAAATCAGGAGCTGTGTGCAGAGTAACTTTCCATTTCATAGAGTAAGAATTTTTTAAAATTTATTTTATTGAATTTTTATGCCATCCATCACCCCTGTGCCTCTAGATGGCTTTGTTAATTAGCTGAACAAAAAAAAATTCTCTTAAAATGTCCTTAATGCTTTAGTCCGGAAGAAGATAATCCTCCAGATGTTTATCAAACACCAATTCCTAGCAACCTTGGCAAGAATAGCCACTGATGAGAGATCAATGCAGCTGATGTTTAGCAGTATCAGTTATGACACATTTTTTATACCTAACTAAAACTAGGGATTTGCTATAAAAATTATAAAATTTACACATGGAACAGAGCAAGCGAAGAAAGTTTGCACAAAGAAGCAACCTCATAATAAGACTAACAATAATTCAAATATATTTACCAACAGATTTCACACAAGCAAAAGTACTTAATCACGCAAATCTAATTCAATGTGTTATTATTTAACCATCTTATTATTTTTATGCTTTTATGATGATGTAGTTTTAATTTCTATTTTCATGTCTATAAAGTAAATCATCAAGTCATTTTGAAGTTCAGTGGTATACAATTCATATAACAAATAAACAAATACATTTATTAAATGTATTGTCATTGCTACGGGTGATTGCCACTAACTTAGACAGGTTGTGGATCTTACCATTAAGCATTAACTATAATAATTAAATTGACCATATAAAGACAAAGGGTATCTGTGTATGAGTTGCAAAAGAGCAATTTGAAGGGAGAGATGTCTCCTTTGTGAGGAGATGTCTCCTTCTCAATGCCACTTAAAAAGATTACAATATACCATTAAGTTCATGCACAGATATTGAGGCAAACTAGAATGTTCTAGAATGTTCCAGAATGTTCCAGAAAAACTAAAGGAAATTTATGGCCTCAAAATGATGCATTGGCATATCACTTCCAGCTTGCATTAAGTGAACTTGTTTTTTCACACCCTTGTAGTTTTGCCCGAAAAAATCTGTTTCCTTGAGTATATCCAATATAAATTGAAACAGGAGGCATATTCAAGGCAAAAAGGATTATATTGAAATTTCTTTCCACAGTTTGCTATCATATCTAGCACCAAATGATGCAACATTGCCTCACAAAGAAATGACTGGCTACCAGACCATCTTTAATCAATATTGGAACAGATGTAAAATTCAGATTCTGAAATGTGAAGTATTGCTTTAATATTGAAAAAATGCAACTTATTTGTATTTCCTGTACTTTTTCCTCAGATAGGCTGATAAATCTGACTTAGGAAATAATTTGAAATCTGAAGTCTGCTTAGAAAATATTTCAATATGCATAGTATGGATTTGCCTCTGATGGAGTAATAGTTACAACTACCGTTAGTATGCTGCAACTAGGGTACTGAAAGGGACTGTTGTGGCCCAGCAAGAGCCGTTGGAGCTGCCACCAGACTCCGACAGAGAATGTGGAGGACCCTGGAGAGGGTTCCGACTCCGAGCAGGACACAGAGAGGCTGGTTGGCCACCAGGAGGTGCCTGAGCATTGGAGCAGTGGGGAGGAGCCAAGGGAGTTGTTCCTGGATGCCCGGCACCGAAGAGCTGATAGGCGTAAGGAACAGTTGCGTAGTTACAGGAAATAATTGCACTCAGTTGGTGGTAATTAGGCTCCTCTCAAGACTATAAGAGGACTGCTTGTGCACACGCCCCGTTGCAGAAGTCAACGCATTGACTAAAAGTTGGAGAACTTTTGTGGCTAGCTTGGCAGGCTGGATTGCTGCCAAGGCTTGTCTGTGCTGGTTTGCTGCCAAGGACCTGTCTGTCTGCTAATAAATTTCTTAAAGTATCTTTGGCTTGGCGCTCTTTGGTGTGGGACGAGGGGGATCAGAACAGGGACCACCTTTTAGGATAAAGTTAAGTCATCTGAAAAAATTGTGATAGCTGCCATCATGCTAAAAAGTTAAGGCTAAATACTTGTGCTGGCATACAAAGCATTATATGGTTTAGGATTTGGATATCTGGCCAGTTTTCTCTAGCAAAGGATCAAGAAGGGATACCCTCTCGATTATCATATTTTCCACATTTTCTCTATATAGCCACCCAAAAGAAAGAGCTTCCAGGTGGAACACTTGTGGAATTCGTTTTACAATCCTTTATGGTTGTTGTAGTTTACTTTTATTATCACCTGAAGACCCTGTTATTTTTATAACCTTTAAGTTACTTTGCATTGGTGTGCCAGTTACTGTATTGTAACAGCATTGCCATAATTTATTTGCTGTTGTTTTATGGTTTTAATTTTTTGCAGCTTTATAAAGTTTTATTGATTTGCATTGCTGTAGGAATTATTTTTAATTATAACAATTGGCTAAATAAATGTTAATCATAAGCTTTATAAACACCAATACTATCATAGCTGCAAAAAATGGAAACATTCAGGAGTATAACCTGAGTGAAATCAGTTGGACTTACGTCCTACTAAATGTTGACAGGATTCGTGTCACATTTCCTGATTCTTCTTTTGCTCAGTAAAGCAAAAGGGAACTAAAAACTAGAACTATCAGAAAGAGGAAATAAGTGATATTAATATCCTTGAATACAAGAAACAATGAAGCTATTACATGGCAGTTACTTTTTTAAAATGTTAGGTTTTCAGTGTTATAGTTTTAATTTATTGATTGTCACTCAGGGTTATAGAAGCAAGGAGATGGGCATAGGTTTAAATAGATAAATATGCAAAAAAATAAAAAGTGCATATATAAATAATTGTGAAAAAGGAATATATGCTAATGAATAAATGGTAATAAACATTGTTTTTTCAGCAAGTATCTGTTATGCAAAATATTTGCTTTTATGACTACTACACACAGCCAAACTATAGTGTACTGTTCTTCTTAAGCTCTATTATTTGACTAAGATATTAGGCTACAGCTAGAAGAAATGTGACATTTTGAAAGTACTATAAGGCAGGGGTATTTAACTCATGGCGTCACAGCGTGACGTATTGCAACTCCCCCCTCCCCCCTGCTAAACTGGCCATAGGCGTTGCCAGTACATAACGTGTCTGGCCCGCGGGCCCTGGGTTTGACAGTCCTGCTATAAAGCATTGCTTTAACAAACTGAAGCCTGTTAAACAGAAATAATAAGATAAATAAGAGCAGCACCACAAAGATTTAAAAAAATACTTTAGAGAGTATACCCATTTGTTGTTTAGTAAAATATGGTTGCAAATGCATGCATACGTCAGAAAATGAATTTTGCATTACTGTTGTATTAGTGAATGGTTACCAGGTAATCACTAAACAGAGCGGGTTTTTTGCAATTTGCATTGTAGACAGATCATGAAAACTAAGAAATCTATAATATCTGAGGATAATCCCCTCTCCTTTCTCATGCACCTTGCAAGAGAGTTTCTAATGACACAATACTTATTCATCATTTACCATCATCTCCAATATTTTATCCCACAACCACAATTTAATGTTAAATTTATATCGCAACTCTCTAGAACAAAGTAAGAAGCAGAACATTACCAATAAAATGCTATCTTGTCTCCAAGTTTATTCTCGTAAACATTTCTGTCCAAAACATTGTAGCAAATGTTGGTTGTAGCTCCTTTCATCCATTCAATAAAGATTTTCCCTTTGGTAACATCAAAATTGTACTGCAGGAATGGTCCAGTGTGTTGGTTCCTCCAGTAAAATTCTTTGGCTGTATCACCCCAAAATTCTGCAAAAAAGTTTTAAAAAAATGTTTCAAACACAAGGTATTCGTAAATACTATCAGATATCAGTATCTAAAGACCAACCTTGCAATCTTATGAACCCCTACTAAGGAATAAGGAGGCAGGTCTAAATTTTGCTAAATATTGGATATATTCTGAAGCTTATATTAACAGTCATTCTTGGCACACACAAAAAAAAAGATCCACAAGCAAGATTTTTTTTCATGATGATAGAATTTCATTCACGTGCCATTTATTTAGAGGCAAGATAAGAGAATTTGGCAGATTAAAATTCTTTTAGCTAACATCCTGTTTTCCATAGCAACTAATCTGATGTTTCTGGGTACATTCACAAGCAGGACAAAGCAGAAAGTTAATATTTTGAATTCAGTCATAATTTACTATTTAACTACATACTATCATTATAACTGAAAATATATATTGCCAATATATTGAGTAGAACCTACATTATATGTTCATAAATGCACCGATTATATAATCACAGCCAATTATCTTTTCTCCCAATTTGAAATATTACTAAAACTGTTTAAATAATTTCCTTTTATCTATCACAATATTAAATGTTACTCAGTTTTATAAATAAAAATATTGTGGTCATAAGTTGAGGGCTAGCTATACTTTATATACTTAGTTCTGGAATTTGTATTGGCTCTGTGGTGTTTTAGATTCAAACTGTAGGGGAGCCAACCTGGTACTTGTTGGCAACTCCTTAAAGTAGCCATGCCTTTCCCCACAGCTGTCAATAATCCTGCATTCTGTGATTCTATGTCTGGGTCTTTAAACAGTCCAATGCAACTTTTTACTTTCAAATCCAAACCAATCGACAAGTTGACTGTTTAATATCAATAAACATGTTGGCAAAATCATGTTCATTTAATTCTTAATTGCATGCTTTGTTTTCAGTTCTGTCAATTCTAGTGTTAACATCAATATATTTTGGAGCCCTACTACAATTTTTTCCTTGAAGCTCATCAAACTCCCTGCCCCTTCCTGACTATAAAAATATATTACTATAATCAAATCAACTGAAAGGCTGACATGCTGAAAATGAAGAATGGTGGTCTCTAAAGTCATCTTGATTTTCAAGCATGCCACTGGGCTTCAAATGAATCCCAAAGACATTTTTGGAAATTAAAAAGCAGGGCCAGAGAAGGGGAAAAGGTTCAGGAGACCATGGTAGAATGGGAGGTTGAAAGGGGAGAAATAGAGTATTTTCTACCAAATGTGTTTATCTACTGCTTTTATTTTGTCCTTTGTTAAAAGTGTGTGTTTGTAGTTTTGCATATTTCTTTTGGCACAATGAGTTATATATGATATGAATGAGTATTTCACTTGTATTTCTCTCTGGATACTACTTATTTTCTTCTGCATAATGAGTGTTGAATTCAGTGAACCTATATTCTACCACTTCTCATGGTAGCAGAAAAGTCTAATATAATCTCTTCCTTATGTACCAATGAGGTATAGAACAGCATATTATGAGTGTATATGTTATAATAAAATAATAAAAGAATGTGTCATCTTCTTTAAATATCTGTCATACTTAGAAACATAGTTTTACAGACATATAGCTCTTGCAAATCTCAATGAGCTTCACTTGTGTTCATCCCTTTATGTTTGTCCAAAACCATACAAACTGTGAGTGGTGCTACATGAAGCAGCCACTAAACAAGGACTACCTGTTGCAAACACTGCCCTCATAGACAACATGGTAGAAACATTGTAACAAAATATATTGGGGGAGGGGGCTTCCATAGATCAGGGGAACTCCTCCAGTTAAAATCCACAAATCTTAAAGGTTGCCAAGGTTGAAAAACACTGGTCTAGATATTAAAATCTAACTGCTTTGTTTCTCTGCTTACCTATTGCTAAAAGGTTGGCACCCAATTGTAATCAGTATCTGGCTACAAGAGCCACTTTAGCATAGTGATTAAAGCTTCAGGCAGAAACTGGAGATTGTCAGTTCTAGTCCCATCTTAGGCACACAGCCTTTTGGGTGACCTTGAACATTCTTTTTCTCAGACATAGGAAGCAAGCAATGGCAAACCACTTCCAAAAAAAACCTTGTCAAGAAAACGGAAAGAACTCCAAACAGCAACCAGGAATCAAAAACTTACTCAAAGACACCCCCACAAAACCAGGTGAATGTTACTAACTTCAGCCAAATCTTTGACAGCCTAGAACTGACAACATATAACCTAGGCACAGTTTTGAGCCAAATACTGGAGGACTAATGTGAATAAGTCTTTTTTTCTGGCAATAGTTATTGCAGGATTCAAGAGCCACATAAACATGAACTCATTGACTGAAGTCCTTTCCCCTTTTCTGCTGCTCAGCTGGGAAGTGTATTGTCATCTTTCATTCCGGACGTTACTTCAATATGCAACACCATCTAACTACATTATCCCCCTCCTAACCAGTTTTGTGATTTTAGCACATAAATACACTTGTGCTCATTTAGATAAACAACTGTGTAAGGAAGCAAATGACCCATAACTACATATTGTTATAAATTAGGGGGGGGGAGTCTGATGAGATTAGTATTGAGTATTGTGCATGGAAAACCTATGTGCAAATATAGAAGCTTCCAAACTGCTGGTCTCATTCATAATCTGATACAACTAATTTCCAAAAGAAAACATATTTGTGGATTACAGTATGCCCACATTTATACACGTCTAACTTTGAAACTGCTCAACTGCTCTTTGTTTTAGCATAACAAGTTAAACAATAGGGAGGGGTTTTTTATGGTCGAGGTTGGTGAGGTGGTGTTTACTTTATAATCAACAAGAGATTATTTTTCTTCTATTGGGAGAAATAATTAACATGTGGCTGGTTGTAACTTCAGAAACTTGGAGCCAAACAAGGGAAGCACCGTCCCCTTCCTACACACACCCCTCCTTGAAACAACCCAGCGAAGTAATTCCAGCAGAGATGCTAGGAGACACTTGTTGCTCACACACAGAAGAGCAGAGAAACCCGCTTCGCAGCCCGGACTGCCCATCTCAGACTAACGGGTGGGTTCCGGGGCAGCGGCTGGTTCGCCTTCGGGACCTTGATGCATCCGATCCAAAGGATCGGCAACTACCAGTATTACAGGAGGAGGAGGAAGAGGACAGCTATGCGAGCACATGGTAGCAGAGGAGAGGAGAGGAGCTGGATCGTGGCGCCCTTGGGACGGAGGCTTCTTGCTTGCCAGCGTCCTTCTCTCGCCCTCCGGCCCCAGCCTCGGTGCGCCTCCCATCCCGCCTGCCACGGTCAGGAAGTCAGGCAACCGCGAGCGGCCTGGAAGCTTGCCCCGAAGCTGACAGGGAAAGGCGCGCCAACCTCGCCCACCGCGGCCTGGCACTCACCCTGCGGCTCCTCCACCGAGCGGCGGTAAAGCTCGCGGTATTTTTCCAAGGAAGACACATGCGCCTCCCGCGCTGGCTCCGGCGGCGCCCGGTAAAGCCTGGCGGCGTGCTCTGCTTTGGGCAGCACCATCCTCCGGGCTCCAAGCAAGAGAAGGAGCGGAACGGCAAGCCGCGGCTGGCAGGCAGCGAACGAGTGGCGAGCGCTGAACTAGGAAACACCCCGGCGGAGCTGTCTTTACCAGGCTCCGGCTTCTGGGAGGAGCCGGGGCGGGGGAAAGCTCCGCCCAAGCCTAAGGCTGCTGCTGGGGGAATTGGCCCGAGATACGAGGAAGGGCGATTGCTTGAGCTGGGCTGACCCGACCGCCTCTTCTCCCTTGCGAGCACATCGCGAGCACATCGCGGCCGCCTATTCTTTCCTCCTAATGGGTGGTTCAATTGGGTAATTTTAGACTCTGGACTTAATGGGGTGGTAGTAGCTCCGTCCCCTTTAGGTGGCAACGCGTGTTACTTCACACTTGCTTCACTGAACTGAAGGCATTTGACGTCCCTCTTGGTCTTTCAGCTCCACGGAGCCCTGGATTTATGCCCATGAAGTCCTTGGCCTCAAATCGAGAAAAAGTCACACTTGAGCTTATCTCGATCTAGTTTCGTTATTCAGCCCGATCCTGTTCATTTGCCTTAGAGGCTGATTTGATTTTCCATGACTCAGTGGTCATGCTCTGCGAAATGGATGCAAAATTAGTAGACCCTTCTTTCTGAGCTGGAATCTTGTCTGGTTTTTTATTTATTTTATTTTACTTATGTATTTATTTCAGTTTGTCAAACCTACCAGATAACAGGTATAAGTATAAACATGGACATGGACACAGGAAATAAGTACGAATAAATGGGGACAGTAGGACAGGAATGGTAGGCACGCTTATGCACGCCCCCTTACAGACCTCTTAGGAAAGGGGTGAGGTCCACCCTAGACAGCTTAAGATTAAAGTTATGGGGGTTTGAGGACATAACAACGGAGTCGGCTAATGCATTCCAGGCGTTGACCATTCTGTTGCTGAAGTCGTATTTTCTGGAATCAAGTTTGGAGCGGTTTACCTTGATTTTGTATCTATTTTTTGCCCGTGTATTATTGCAGTTGAAGCTGAAGTAGTCATTGTCATTGACAGGTAGTACGTTGCAGCAGACAATTTTGTGTACTACGCTTAGTTTTTCTCAGTGTTTCTTGTCAACCTTGGCAACTTTAAGACCTGTGAACTTCAACTGCCAGAATCTCCTGGCTGGGGAATTCTGGGACTTGAAGGCCACAAGTTAAAGTTGCTGACGTTGAGAAATATTAATTTGATAGTGTCCGTTGTTTCAGTCTATTGCTCATGATAGGAAACAATTAAAATATCCGTAATCAGTTGAATCTACTTTTTCAAGTTAAAATAGAAAAGTTGGGAATCTGAAAGTCTGATTGTTTGGAAGTGCCATGTATTATCTGCACTTGGTTCTCACTGAAATAAATTGGTTATAAATAAGTTATAATTAATGTTTTGTTTCAATAGGATCTAAGAACAAGAAATCTAATCTAACAGAGTACAGCTTTGAAATAATAAGTTCATACATTGTCCTAAGCCCTAATTTGTGTAACCACGAGGTAGAGAATAAACTATAGTTGCTGCTATAAACATGGTTTGCATACTACAAAGCTAAGGTTCACATAATGGTCTATAAACTATGGCTTATATACTACAATGTCAGGCTTCACACAACATGCTAAATCAAAACCAAACAAACCATGTTATAGTGAAGTGTTTCATCTATCCAATGCATATCATATTCTTGTAGCTGCCATAAGGACTTGGCTTATATAAGCAATGTGCCACCTACAATCAGTCTTCCTTGACTATATGATTCAGCAGCTGCATGGGTCATTTGTGAAAAGAAATTGTAAATCATGCCACTTAGGATAAGGACTGAAATTTAATACCAGAATGAACAGTCTGTACTTCCTCCTAAATAGATCTAAATGTTGCAGAATTTTAACAGGTTGGGCAGATAAAAATGGTTCTTCATGACGCTAAACTATATAAAAAATTTCCATCACCAAACTATTACTTTGATTATTTCTTCATTGCAATTATATCCTGCCTTTTTCTGCGTGCCCAATGGGCTTTAATGGGGTCTCCCCCAGAATCCTTGGGCTATGAGGAAGTGACTGGCACAAAATCACTCAGTGAGTACATGGTTGGATAGAAACAGACTTTAGGACTTCCTGGTTCAAGTATAAGATATTAATCATCATAATACATTTACAATTCACGGCCAATAAAAAACCACAGCTCATAAATGCCAAGCTGAAAAATACATTCATAACAATAGTTTAAAAAAACATTACTTTAAACTCCGTATTATTCTGCTGAGGAAACAACCTATTTTCTCTCCCAGGAAAATAAATCAAGCTACAATGAAAAAAAATCAACCTGAAAAATTGTGATGGGGAAGGAATGCAACAACTAAAAACTTCCTTGTCCTATTTGTGCATAATCATCTCTTCTTGTCTAAAGTTCCAGATAGAAATACAAATAGGGATTTGTTAATGGTAGCTCAAAAAAGACTGGAATAGCATAAAAGGAGCTACAAAATATTTGTACAATCGAGTTTCACTAGTACAGGCATAATTAATCATGCATATATGCAAACATAGTAGACCACATGATGTTCCCAAGTCTCAGCTCAGCAGTTGTTATCTGAAAACTGAACATGTGAACAGAGTTAATTAGCAAGCATTACATCTCACAGTATCAGGTGATCAGAAAATGATTTAATCACCCATGGTCCATTAATACATATGAGTCATTATTTGAAGTTGCTGTAATCAAGTGATATAATGACCTTTCTGCCATAAAGTTTGCATCGGCCCATAAATGTGTCTGAATTTATGATCTTATTTAGCAGATTTATTCCTTAAGTTTAAAACCAATGGATTGGATACAGGCCAAACGGAAGGTTTTGCTGTTGACACTGTGACTGTTTATATTAATGGCAAAATCTGGTCACAGGATAGAGGGGTCATTCTAGAGGATGGGTTGAACTCTTATTTTCAGACTGGTGGCGGCAATACTAGGGCAGACCCAGAGTCCAAAAAAAAAGATGGCATCCTCGGACTCTGGTTTACTTCTGGATGCTATTGGAACCCTGACAACTGGATCTCTTCCTAATGATCTGTATCAAATATTATCAAGATCTAGTTGGGTGAAAGTAGTGATGTTACCTTCTGGAGATCTTTCTTTCCAGGGTTTTGGATCTTGGATCAATCACAGACTTAAAGCCAGAGGGGCAAGTGGTACTTATCAGGGGCACTACTTCTAAGGGGGCAGGAGATGAATATCTCTTTTGTTAAGTTGGGCTTTAGGGACAAGTGGAGTATCTTTCTAGTGTAGTAACAGCCCTGCTACACATTTGTATGCTTCTTCAGGCTTCCTGAACTTGTCTGGAACTCTTTATTATTTATTCAATTTTTATGGCCACCTGCTTACCAGCTAGTTTCCAGCTGGTGATAAGAGTCCATGGAGGTCAGTCAGAGAAAGCTAATGTGTTCACAGCCTTTTTGTCAACCTCTCTGGCTTAGTACATCCTGCTAATCATATGTTAGACCACAGTGTCAAATTCACGGCCTGTGGGCCGGATGCGTCATGTGCTGGCAACGCCCACCCCAGTATAGCTAAGGGGGGGGAGTCCCAATACATCATGTGACAATGACGTGATGATGTGAGTTTGACATCTCTGTGTAAGACCCTGTGTTTGTCTTAGATAAATACCGTGGTGATCTTAACATAGAGGTATTATATCTAGCTGTAGCCTGATCCAGTTAAGAACGGCTGTCCAAGGCCTTTATAAGACAAACTTTTGCCTGGGCATGGTATGAATGTAGCATTAGGTGCTGCAATGAATGACTTGTATTGGGAATTAAATGAGGTTAGTCTACCTCTCTTGGTCCTATCAGCTATCTTAGTAGGTTTAGATACAATGGACTGTGTTATCTTTCTAGGTTGCCCATGCGCGTTGAAGATTCAGACAAGGGGTGGGCCACTGGGGGTTCGCAGGGGTTTGGGAGAACCTCTAGCTTAGATTCTGTGCAGTTTGGAAAACCCCCAAATCCCACTCCTGGCTGGCCCCACTCACCTGCCCTGCCCCTCCAAAGAGTCCCCACGCGGCCCATTTTGGATGCAGGTAAATGCAGAGCATGCACAGAGGCTTGGGGAGGATGAAAAATGGGCCTACTGGAAGTTTGGGAAGGCTGGAAACGGGGCCATTTCTGGTCCCCCAGACGGCCTCCAGAGCCTGAGGAGGCTGTTTTCGCCCTCCCAGAGGCTCGGGAAAAGCCTCTGGAGTCCAGGGAGGGCAAAAAGCCCCTCCCCCTGCCATGGCGCAGGAGGCTGACTAGGCCACGCCCACCATGGCCACGCCCACCCAACAACAGGTTGGAGAACCCCTTGCTAAAAGTTTTGAAGCCAACCCCTGATTCAGAGGTATTGCTCTATAATTGTTCCATTATTACTGTACTGTATTCTAATAGGAGAGGAAAGGTTTCCCCGTCAGCTATTCCTTTTTGAAGTGCCATGGTGGTCAGTCCTTTCCCCTTTACTGTTTCAAAAGTATATGAAATACCTAGGAGACTTTACCCAATCATTAAAGGTGTGATACCACCAGCAGACTGATACTGAGCTTTATATTGCTATCACAGGCTCAACTGGAGATGCTACCAATCTTGTCCTGCCCTCTAGTGGCTTTTAGGAGGGGGGACAAAACATGCAGAGACAGAAGCAAAGAAAGAATGCTGTGTGAATACCCTGATTCTCTATTAGTGTCACTTTTACTCTCAGAAAGGTGGCACAATTGGTCCTGAGGGAGCAGGTGTGTGATCTGAAATCCTGTGCGCTGATCTTTGATAAACGCTGACATCTCAATTGCTTTATAATATTTTAAATTTTTGGCAAGCTATTTCATCAACATTGCTGTTATGGAGAATATAAACTAAATAATTGTTTTTTAAAAATTTCAAATGAAAATACCTTGGTTTTCTGTAATAGGTAATCTTCAGAGCAAGGGTGAAATCCAGCAGGTTGTGACAGGTTCTGGAACCGGTAGCGGAAATTTTGAATAA